CCCTTTGTCCTCGTGGCGATGAATTCTGTATTGGTGCCAACTTCTTCGTGCATGACGTCCCTCCTCACAAGGACCGCGGTACCTCTGTACACGATACCTTCTGGGGAGATCTTGTCATGTCGGTACACGAAGAAGTTGGGGAGCTTTAGTTGAGAAGAGGGGCGCAGTTTGGTTTCCCCCAGCAGCACAATCTGGATATTGTGCTGCTGGACCAGGGTTCTCAGGTCGGCGACTTTCCCTTAGATGCCGCCGGTGTTCCAATAGCACATCCTAAGTTGATGGCCTGCTGATGGAAGTAAGTTGGGCTAAGGCACTTAAGATGGCCGAAAGGGGGTTGGTACCGGTGGTCATGGCAGTCAAGACCTCTCCTAGGATCCTGATTACCACTCCCACCAGTTGAGCGAGGGCCTCCTCGATGGTGGTTGGTGCCTGGGGCTGTGATTGGGGTGTGACAGTTATTGTCCTTTTAGGTGGGCGTGGATCTCGGGGTTAGGGTGCAGTTTGCTCATTCTGGCTCGAAATAGGGGGGAAAGTATATCGCGGTTGTGGTATTGGCTGTCGTTGCTGTGTGGTGGTGATGAGTGGAGGAAAGGGAGTCGACGTACCTCCCACTTGAGCTGATTGTGTGGTTGCCTTCTTCTTCTTTTTCTTTTTCTTACCTCTTTTTCTCTTGGGGCGCTCTATGCGCTCCGTGGCATCATTCGCCGGTGGGGCTAAGGTCACCCCGGTCGTTGCGAATGTAGTTGGCGCTGGTGCTATTGCCACCTGTCGCCGTTGCGGTTGAGGCGCCTGGTGTTGTGGTTGCTGCTGTTGTAGGGATTGATGCTGGATTTGCCTTTGTGGTGATGGTGGTTGTGGTTGCGGTAGTGGCGGTGGTGGTTGCCATTGTGGTGGAGGTGGTTGGCGTTGCGGTGCTCGTGCTGCTTGCGGGGGCATGGGAGGTTTACACTGGGCACCGCCTGTTGTTTGCCAAATGGTCTTTCCCGCAGTTTGCACATTTGGGTTGCGCATCCCGCGGTTGTGGGCAGGCTGAGGCCAGGTGGTCACCCTCACAGCGTACACATTTGTAGGGCCAGCAGCAATTAAATGATGCATGCCCAAACCCTTAACACCTGTGACACTGCGCGGGGCCAATTCTACCAGTCCAGGCCTCTATAGTTACCCCCGGCATGTAAAGTAGCTCATCTATCTGGTATAGCCTGTTGAGCTCTTCGGGGCTTAGGTGTTCCATTTTTACGTGGCAGAGGCAGCCAGACCTGTCTCTTTTCGGTGGGAAGGGTCGGACGAAGGTTACCGGGAAGCCCCTCTCTATGACGGTCGGTATCCGCCGGGAGCCCTCTTAACCCCACCTTCGCGGGTTGCTCTACCTGTGGGGCATAACAGTACCACACGAAGGCGGCGTCTTCCTCACTGCGGTCAATCAGATATCTTTGTACCTTGCGGTACTCGTTGTCGGACTAGAGCCAAGCGGACCCCCTTCCCAAATGGGCGAGCATTCGGGGCGTGGCCCAGAAGCTGGTGAATGATTTTAAAGTGCTCCGCCCAATTTGGGAAGCACTCCACTATAATGGGAGGGTATTTGGCTGTTTGGCTGTCTGCTGGCTGTTGTGGTCTTTGCACAGGTGGTGGTGATGGTAGTGGCGCCGTTCTCGGAGCTGCTGCTATGTGCTCATAGGAGTCTGGAGCTGAGGATGGTCCCGGTATGGGCTCATGATTTGAAGATTGAGTATCTTACATAGGGGCAAGGGTGGCGTAGGATGTATTGTCCCATTCCCTCTCCCCTTCTGGGTCCTGCTCACCGAAATCCTGCATGTCATTTGTGCAGGCCAGAGAGGTGGTTGGTGACGGTGATTTTGGTGGCATGTTGTGCCTCACCAAGGGTTGTGGGGATTGCCTTTCAGGTGGGGTTGGCGAGGTAGTAGGCGATGCCGAATCAGACAGTGAGTCGGATCCTGCTTTCAGCCTTTTCTCCTCTTAGAGCTCGTCTTCATTGATTTCGGGTGGGGTCCTTCTCCGCGAGATTAGGCTCCGGCGTGGCAGTGGAGCCGGTTCGACGCTAGGTGGAGACACAGGTTCACCAGCGCCGAGCGCGGCGCCAGTGGCCGGTGAACTACCTATCCGCCTCGGGAGTTGGCTGTACGGTGGGAGCACTTTTGACCTTTTAGGAGCGAAGAGGTCTCACTCCATGAGGGGTCTGTCAAGAACTCCCGGACGCCTGTCGGGTGGTTTTCGGCGTATTGGGGGGGGGGTTCCCCCTTTTCCGACATCTCTCTAATTTATTGTGCTCAGCCCTTAGCTATCACTCACTCCCCTCAGCGCGTGCAAACACACCGGCTGAGACCCTTGAGGGAGGCCCAGCGAGGCGCCCGCGAGCAGGGAGGGGTGTGTGAGGCGCAGATGGATTTGGGCGTTAACTCAGCACAGAGTGCGGCACACTTGCAATCACTTTTTAACAATAAAAGAGGGTACAGTGTAAGTAAGGTGAACGCAAAAGTAGGGCACAGCGTAGGTAGTTCCCTTTGCGCTTACCTTGATAGTAGCTCGACACAGGAAATGCGGCGGCGATGCCTCGACGCCTGACGGAGCGAACTCGACGTCGGCGGAGTCGATCACTGACACAACACGTACACAATAACAGGAGCGCGACTAAACACTTCCGCACCGTAGCACGGCCCGCGACGAACTGCACTATTATAAGAGAATTTACACGTAGGAACAACACAGAATTCACCTATTTTGCTCATAAGTCAACCTGAAACATTTCACAATTCAATTTTACATAAATTGCTGAAATTTACAAACATTTAAATTTCCACTTATTTAGACTTTTAATTCTACAAATTAGCGCGCTGCTCTTATCAGAAACTAAGTTAACAACTACTCTCTGCACGACTTCCATTGTCGGTAAAGTAGGTTGCAAATTTAGCATGCGCTGCTATCAACAAGTACAAGGTGAACAACTGATTTTTAGACGACATTCAACTGTCGGTAAAGTAGTATTCCAACAAGACTCTTATCAGTTATCAAGGTTCTTATCAGTTATCGCGTTCTTATCAGATAACATAAAGAAAATATTTTATGAATCAAACATTGAAAATAGACATTTTATTTTTCATACAAAATGTGTTCTACTTATATAAGACATTATGTAATATTAATTTACATTAATTCCACTTATACACAAAGTGATAATTTCCACCGGGGAACAAATCCTGGTCTAACTTTATTTTAATATTTCTGTAAATTGAAAATAACATTGGAAAGGTAATTCAACCGGGGAACTGAACCCGGAAACATGAATTATATCTTAAAAATTCCCTATATGAATTTATTAAGAAAATATTGCTAAGAAAACGACAAACTACTCCGACCTGGGAATCGAACCCAAGACCTTTAAATTATTAATTCGATATTTCTTTAAGATTTAACTAAGCGTTTTCTTATAATACAATTATTGCTTGATAATTTAACTTTAGAAGCTATTCGTAATCTGTTAACTAATAAATTGAAATATTTTTATAGGCGCGTCGCCAACAATACGACATTCATCATCATCATCATCATTACAGCCCTTCACAAGTCCACTGCTGAACATAGGCCTCCCCCAGCGAATGCCACAAAGCAAGGTCCTGAGCCACCTGCATCCATCGACTTCCTGCACATCTCACCAGGTCGTCACTCCATCTAGTGGGGGGACGCCCAACACTTCGCCCGCCGGTACGAGGCTTTACTCGAGAACCTTTTTTCCCCATCGGTTGTCGGGTTTTCGAGCTATATGGCCGGCCCATTGCCACTTCAGCTTACTAATCCGTTGGGCTATGTCGGTCACTCTGGTTCTACTGCGGATATCCTCATTTCTGAGTTTATCACGCAGAGTAACTCCGAGAATAGCCCTCTCCATAGCTCGCTGAGCGACCTTGAGCTTCCTCATCCGGCCAGCAGTGAAGGACCACGTCTCAGTTCCGTATGTCATCACTGGCAACACGCACTGGTTATACGACATTATGCTATGGAAATAACAAATATAAAGTAATCTAGCTGTCTTAACGCCTGTAAGGCTTCTAATCGTTTTTACAGCATATGTTGCGAAACTAACTTTGCTAGCTAGTTTACATATAATATGGGGACCCCACTGAAGATGTAGTATTGAGAGCGCATGAACTGTAATTCCGAGAAAAAACAGTGGATTCGACAACATTCAGCTTCTCCCTATTTAAAAGCACATTGTTACCTATTCACCTGTTTATCATTTATTGTTTTGAATGAAATGAACTGAACCATCGGCTATCGGTTCTTCGAGCTATATGGCCCACCCATCGTTAAGATACTGTTTCTAAAAGTCCCATTCGGTTTCTTGCATTTTCTTTTCAAGACAATGTAAAAATAAGGTCCAAAATTTTATATTACTGACAGTTGAACGACGAAACAAAAACGACAACCAACCACACATGAATACTTTTGTACCTCCTTTTGTTGTTCCAAGTTTTGTCATTAATACAACATTTTAAAATATATCGAAATTCGACTCTCTAAAATAAATAACGATATATCGCGATTTATAATATCGACGATATATTATATCGATATATCGATATTTCGATATATTGATATTTTTTGCCCAAGCCTATTTACAAATATCAATTATCAACCAGTGGAGTTGCTATAATACCATAGACTTTGTATCTTTCTATCTACGTATAATACATTACATATCTGTGCTACATATTTATTTATTTATCTATGGTGGAGTTCATTTTTATTTCCAAAATAGAAATATTGTTGTAATTATTTATTTAAAATTGCGTTGGATACGACTCAATTTTTGCATTTAGTGATAGATAATTTTTAGCGTCAAAATTTCACTATTGCGAGAACTGTTGCGAATAATAATGGAAGATAATCGTGAGTACTTTTATTATTGAAAGCATTTCATTGTTTATTTACCTTCGTGAAGATCTACATTTTAAAACTAACTAAGGTGGTCACCATGTTGTTGCTTTATGCACTTGATTTATTCGTTTATTCTTTCAGCAAGCGATGGCGACGAAGATCACAACGAGGGAAATAGCGGAGTTGGCGAGGATATCGAGGTGGAAGACGAATCTGACGAGGAAGAACAGCAGTTCGATAAAACTCTAGCAGCATCGCATTCAGTATGTATTTCTCATCAATTTTATTTGGGTGCTAACCTCGAACTAGACATTTTTAAATTAAACTAAGTTTTACGAATTTTATCTTATGTATTTATTTATTTTGAATACCCGACGTTTCGAGTACTTTACAGCACCCATGGTCACGAGGGTGGACCGAGCTGTTCGACGTCCTAATGTCATAGTTAACCGCGTCTACCTTCATTTTAAAATAATATTTGGTTAGATTTACACAGGATGAGCTTATAGTATCTTGAAGTCTTGCAGTTGTGTGCTTGTATTGGGATTTAATTTTATTAATTATAGGATCCCAAGCAGATGGTAGTGCCCAGCCATCTTCTCTATTGAAATTAGGATGTTTTTAATTTCTATAGCCTTGCTAATCATCCTTGGTAGGAGTTGGTGTTCTTTAGTAAGGATTTGTGGTCTATCACATATATGTAGTGAGGGGGGCGATCCTATCCTAGTTCACAGTCTAGGCTTCTAGGAGCATCGATTCTTCACATCAACTATGTGTTAATTTTCATAGGTTATAATAGATCTTTTAGTTTGCCCTATGTAAGAGAGACCACACTCACAAACGAGCTTGTACACTCCTGCATCTTGATGAGGGATATTACACTTGGCTGATGGTATAAACTGATTAATCTACTTTGGCAGCTTGAAGTATATTTTAACCTCTCGGGCCTCGACATGATTTTATTGGACAAACTTAGTCAGAACTATGGTCAAACCAAAGAGTATAGTAGATCAGGCCAAAGACATTTTTTTAATGATGGTTAATATAACTTAGTCATTTCTTTTATAGAATAGGGTGACAAACGAGCACACAGTCCACCTAATGGTAAGTGGTTACTGTGGCCCATTGACATCTACATCTATCCTCGTTTGTGTATCAAAATGCAGATGCATTGTCACCCGTGAGGACTAAGATGGAATGCGTCTTTTCCAGTAAAAAGGGTCTCCGGTTCTTCACACTCACCATATGAATCACAGCAGTTCTAAGCTGCTATTTTACGCTGGTATTCTGTGAGAGCGTGGTCCTTCCCCGGTCGAGCCGACCCATACGTGCTACAACTATACTACTAATATAGCTGCAGCTTGGCTCTACCACGTTAACACATTACTGTGTTCTTATCCAAAAATAAAAAATTCTCAACAATTAAAATATCAAATTATTTGTATGAAGGTCAAGTGAGGGCTAGAGTAACGGTGATTGCAGACATTGTCGATAAATGAAATGTTTTGTGAAATTATCAATTACTGTGTAGTGGCAGTGTATCAATATTCATATCATTCCATAAATAGAATAGAATAGAATAATTTTTTATTCAATATTGATTATTACATAATTCTTATTGAAAGTCATTTTTTTATTTACCACTGGTTCGGAAAATACCTCTGTCCTGGGAAGAGCCAGCAAGAAACCCAGTGGGACTTTTTTTTTTTCAAACATCACAACAATAATTTTGTTTATACAATTTTAAATGATTTCTCATAGAACCAACATGGTTGCAATCACCTTATTCCCAGGGGTTATTTTCATTCATGTATTCCTTGATATTATAATAACCCTTTTTGTACAGTTTTTCTTTAATAAAACTTTTAAACTTGTTTATTGACAAACTGAATATGTTCTGGGATTTAGTTGTAAAAGCATATACATTGCCCCATAAATGAATTACTGATTCTGTGGAGTCTAGTAACTGGTATATAGTACAAGCTTATGTTTGTTCCTAGTGTTTAAAGTATGCACATCCTTATTCTTATTAAAGCTATTTATGTTTTTATGTACATACATTACATTTTCATAAATATATTGTGATGCCAAAGTTAATATGTTTATTTCTTTAAATTTTTGTCTGAGGGACTCTTTACAATTTAGGTTATAAACTGCCCGAACGGCTCTCTTTTGCAAAACAAATATAGCTTCAATATCAGTTTCATTACCCCATAGCAAACTTCCATAAGACATTACGCTATGAAAGTAACTAAAATACACTAATCTAGCTGTCTCAACATCTGTGAGACTTGTAATCTTTCTTACAGCATATGCTGCAGAACTAAGTCTGCTTGTTAATTTAGATATATGGAGGCCCCATTGAAGTTTCGCGTCAATAGTAATACCGAGAAAAACAGTGGTATCCACAAGACTCAACTCCTCCCCATTTAACAGCACATTGGCATTTGAATGTTTTATATTAGGCATTGTAAATTTAATACACTTTGTCTTATTGCCCTTTAAGAGCATATTGTTGGCATTAAACCAATGTACTAATTTCGATAGAGCATTATTTACATCGTCATAATTAATTGACTGCTGTTTGAGTTTAAAAATTAAAGAGGTATCGTCAGCAAATAATACTATATCGTGATTGCCCCCTACAAGATAAGTTAAGTCATCAATATAGATTGAAAACAGGAATGAGCCAAGAATCGAGCCCTGAGGAACGCCCATTGATACTACCAATCCGGAGGAACCTTTACCATTGATCACGACTTTTTGAGTTCTGTTACTTAAATATGAAATAATAAGTCTAAGCACCAAATTTTTTACACCATAATGTTGTAGTCTCCTGATTAATGTCTCATGATGAACACAATTGAAAGCCTTGGAAAGATCACAGAAAATACCTAAGGCATCTTGTGAATTCTCCCAGGTATTAAATTATTTAAAAGGCCGGCAACGCATCTGCGATTCCCCTGGTGTTGCAGTTGTTCATGGGCGGCGGTAGTCACTTACCATCAGGTGAGCCGCATGCTCGTTTGCCCCCTCTCCTATAAAAAAAAAAAAATTAAAAATATATTTCATAAGCTCAACACCGGCGTCCGACGTCGAGCGACCCCTTGTAAAATCAAATTGGTTTTTATGAAGTAATTTATTGGTATTAACAAAAATTAACAATTGATCCAAAATAATTTATTCAAAAATTTTACTGAGAGTTGTTAGTCCAGAAATAGGTCTAAAATTAGCAGGATCCAATGTACTACCAGATTTAAATAAAGGTATAACTTTACTATATTTAAATCTGGTAGTCTTCATCAAATCAGGAAACACACCAGAATCGATACAAGTATTAAAAATAATAGCAAGATGAGGTGCAATTAAATCTATTATGGACGCAATCACTGTAACGGAAATCCCCCACAAATCTGCGGTTTTCTTTACATCAATGGTTTTGAAGTATTTTACAATATCTTGCGGTAATACTTTTTCAAATCTAAATTCTTTTAGACAGGTATTAACATTCTGTTTGAGTAATAACTCGGCGACAGTTGGAGAAGTATTCAATGACTCTGTTTGAAGTTCGAAAAATTCATATTTATAACTCGTGTAGGTACTTAAAAATTAATATAAATTACAGTTTTTAATTTCTTTATAATTTGAATCTATAATTTATAATCGAATTAAAAGTAATATCTTTATTTTATTATATTAACAAATTAAAAGTATATACCTAAAATACATATACCTAATACATGTTTGTAGCAATAATTTTTTATTATAATTTTTTGCAGTGCCTTATAAAAAAATAATATGCTGAACTGTGTGATTTTGCCTCAGGTATAAAATCGTAAGACCTACTATCCCCTCCTAACTTCCTTTAAGCATCAGCTCTAACTCTCTATTTTTCAAAACACAATTCGAAGCGTTCCATATGGGTTTAGTCGAGCTCTCTTTTCGAAGCTGTTAAGTGATCGTCATCGTGGAGTGTTTCTTGTGCAACTCTTTACGTAAGGACGAACGTTTTCGTCCGAAAAGAGAACTTATAAAAAAAATTTACGAAATAAATTTATGCTTTGTGAAAGTAAAGTTCTGATAACACTCAAAATACAAGCTTTTATTTTTATAACATTAGTTTAATACAATTGAAACCAGTGGTTACAAGACATAAGTACGGAGCACATATTAAATGATTAGATTTTTTGTTTTTGTAGGTTAACTAAACAAATACCATTTTTTTGTAGGTCACTATTATATTTAGATTAAGAATTAAGCTCCTCAGACCCGAGACCACTTTGTGTTTGGTAATGAAATAAAATTTTAAACGCAGACTTATAGACCCCTAAATGATAAAAAAATATTTTTTAAAAAAATTATAAGTTATTAGTTTTTTTTTAATTGTACGTCTCCTATACAAGACTCTGGGTTTTAACATGTCAATTTTCTAATACTGTAATCAAAACGAAAAAATATGAATTAAAACGTTTATTTAAACAAAAACGTTACAGTTACTTAGACAGATTCATGATAGCGTTTGTAGCAATTTCGTCCTACTACAAGGCATAAATGCATGTTACAAGTAGAGCAAAACACTCTAGCTTTCTTGCTTTTACATCCTGGCATTCGGCATATGTGATTGTCATTTTGTTCATCAATCAATGGCAAATGACCAGCCATGGCTGTCCTCAGTTGAACTGGAGGTTGAGGTATACATTTTCTTTTACGGCTCCAAGGTTGTGCTTCTTCTGTTGAGTCGTCTGAATCTACTTCATGAATTATGTGTATCTGTTCCCTCGCTGGTGTAAAATAAAGTAATGAATTTGCAATTTGCACTTTGAACTCCAAGTAGTCCAAAATGTTTTTTTTAGGACATTCTAACAATTTAGCTTCATTCCTGTATACAAGCCATCCAGCAGCTGCCGCAAAGTCAAAGAAGTGGAAAATCAGACGAACAGTCCATTTTTTGGAACGTGCTCTAATTCTGTAAAAACTGATGACCCTGTCCAACATATCTACACCGCCCATCATGGTATTATATTGCTCTATTACAAATGGTCTGTTAATTTGGATATACTGTTTAGTTTTTTTACACCAACGTCTGCATTTGTTGATGGGTTCTTTGGAATCAACAGATGATGCCATTATTACTGGTTTGTTATCAAACCACTTTAGACATGCCACATTACCGTCACTGCGAACGAGTTGATCCGAAGAACCACGTCCTTGTTTTCTCAACTCATTGTCAGTTTTGAAATTGCAGTTTTTAGGTATGTTTGCC